CTGTGAGCTGACAACATGCAGCATTTTTGTGGACTGAGTGGTGTCAGTCCTGCTAGGATGGATGCACTTTGGGTTTGGGTCCCAGCAAACACTTTCAAAACATAGTTAAACAGGTAGCACCAACAACTTCTAATCCAATTACCCAGGAAAGACAGATGTTATTGTTAAAGGATAGCACAAGAGGTATAAACATTGTGCAACCACCCTATACTAGTTACATCTCATCCTTAAATTTGCATGGCTGAAGGTGTGAATTGTTGTCAAAACACCAGGGAAGAAATGTTAAAATGCCACTATATGTGGAAGAGAGATGGTGGTGAAGAAGCCCACTCCTGCTCAATGATGGTTGTTCTAGTTTGACATAGATGGCTCCTTTCATGCCTCTTGCCAACCATTTGTTCTCTCTGTCCAAAATATGCACATTACACACTTCAAAAGAATGTCCTGTTTCCTTGGGGTGTAATAAAAAGTATGAGTCTTGAACCTTAGGGTTAAATGATCATTTTAAATACCCTGAAACTGACTAGAGCAATGGCACTGCTGGCGCAGTAAAGGAGCGGAAATGTATAAACCTAATACATAACAATACTAAGTATGTACAGTTTTTATTTTCAATTCTTTTTATTACAGTTTAGAAAAATATACAACGATCATCAGTATATGAAGTCATTCACTTAAATAACATTAACCTAAAACTAGAGAGAATACAGCACATATCATAGAATTATGGTACATTTTTTAGAAGCCCCAACTAAAAATGATACACTGCTGGGCCTGGTAATCTCAAATCATCTATTACTAATATTCATATAAAAGACAATCTGGATAGCAGTAGCCATAGCATGATTTCATTTAATGTAAGCTGTAAACAACAAGCACATACTGATAAAATGATTAAAAAAAAAACAAATAATTTTAGGACAGCAAATTTTCTAAGGCTCAAGGGATGGTTTCCAATACTTAGACTGGGAGGGATTATTGTCATCGAAGAACACAGAACAGAAATGAAAATGTTTGAAATCAAGTGTTTGGAAACAAGTTGCAAAATATATTCCCATGGGCAATAAGTTTAATTATTTTGCCGCCAGGTACATATGTCATATGACCTGACAGCAAGGGGTGTTATACGCAGTCCGGTGGCTGCAGCCACCAGGATTGTGTATAATACTGACAGGCAGATTCCTGCCTGCCAGGTGGAAGCAGTCGGGTGGCTGCGCTGCCGCCTGATCTCTTCCACAGCCCCCAATACTGGTCTCCCGCCATGTATTCAAGCCCCACTTGCCCATGGAAGGCGACGTGTATGACATCACTTCTGAGTCACTGCTGTCACTTTCCCTGGCTACAATAGCCAGGGATACATGTATTGAAATGCGATCTGCATTGCAATATTTCTAGTGGAGAACAGAGGATAAATGCAAGGTTTTTTAGACCCTATGGGGTTTATTTACTAAAGCTGGAGAGTCCAAAATCAGACTCCCTTCTGCATAGAAACCAATCAGCTTCCATCAGGTTCATTGCCAAGCTTCATTGAACAAGCTGAGGTTAGAAGCTGATTGGTTTCTATGCAGAAGGGAGTCTGATTTTGGACTCTCCAGCTTTAGTAAATAAACCCCTATATGTCTCAATAAAGAGAACCTGTCACCTAAAAATCATCACATAGGGGGACTTTGTGTCCCCCTATGTGATAAAAAAAAAGTTAAGTAAAAAAGATTTTTTTTTTAATTGCAAAAAAAGAAATAAAGTTACACTCAAGCACATAACATCTCCCCCCAACATTTCAATGATGACCTATAAGGGCTTTTGAAGCGTCACCTATAGAAAATATAGGGTATTAAAGTTTGTTGCCACTTCATAGGTGCACACAAATTTAAGGTTTGGCATGGTGGGTATCTGTTTACTTGGCTCAACCTAATCTTTTATATTTTACCAACAATTTGGGTAATTTATTGCATTTGTTTGCTATATAATTCACTTTAGTGTTTTTTACAGAAATTTTGCGATTCCTAGACCTTTGCAGTAATATCATGTGACATAAAAAAATTGGAACTACAACTATTTTATACTCTAGGGTGTCTGCTTTTAGAAATTACATAATGTTTGGGGGGGTTGTGTAATCTTTAGGCCTGAAATTATTTTTTATACATGTGTTCAAAAAACGCAAAAACTGCTCTAGCAGCGAAAGGGCTAAAAAGCTAAAAATGAAAAAAGTGTGTGGCTCTTTTCTAAATGTGAAAAAGGTATAAAAGATAATAAAGGACATTTAGAAATATAAAAATGGAGAAACATTATCAACATTCGACAAAATATGCATAAAGAAAATCAAGGCTACAAAAATGTGAAACAAATGACAGATCGCAAAACAGGGTAGAAGAAACCTCAAAAAATTATTCAAATATATTATTATTGATAAAAATGTCAGGTCTGAAAATGTGGGAAAATAATTTAGATTTAGTCACAACAAAAAAAAAATTATTAAATACCTTCTTCATCTATGTATTTACAAAGGAAAATAGGAGAGCTCAAATCCATAATGGAGATAATATTAATACGGTCCCAAAGGAACTCCAATGGCTTAAAATTGATATGGTCCATAAACATTTACACAACATGAAATTTGTACCCTTGTGTCCCTTACTATGGTATTCGAAAGCTATTGTAACTAATATAGAAAGTTTTTTTAATGACTGCCTTGATGCCACAAGATTTGAACAAGGCCAAAGTGGTTCCTATATTTAATAAGGGATCAAAGTCTTTACCTAGTGACTATAGACTAGTCCAATTTGTTTAACCTATAGACGGCAACAGACAGCATGAGTTCATGAAAGACCATAGTTGTCAAAATAATGTGATTTCTTTTTATGAGGGAAGCAAAAATGTAGACAGAAGAGTGGCTGTGGATATAGCATATTTGGACTTCAGTTTGTAAATGGATAGAAAATTACCTAAAAGACTGCATTCAGAGTAGTGATCAATGATGCATACTCTGAATGGTTATTAGTGGTGTACCACAAGGCACAGTGTTGGGAGACTCACTTTTTAATATATTTATACACAATGTAGAGTTTGGGACTAAGGCTGGCCATGCATTATACAATTTTCTTGAGATTTTTGGTTTAGATTTACCAAAAACCATATAATAGGAGGTCAAACCTAAACAACACTTTCAATTGTATCCAATTACGCAGGCCCTTGCACTACATAGCTAAAGGTAAATCTATAGGAAATTGGGCAGAAATTGGACAGAAAATTGTAAGAAAATTGTATAGTGTATGGCCAACCTTAAAGTACCATTTTTGTGTTGCAGATAATATAAAGTTCTGTACTGGAATAACATCCTTACAGAAAAGCTTAGTGCACTTACAAGCAGAACCTAATGCACTGTTTAAATGGACAACAATGTGGCAAATGAAGTTTAGTGTTGATAAGTGTAAATTATGCACTTGGTGACTAAAGCATACAGTACATGCATCATACACTCTAGGAGGAGTACAACTGGGGGAGTCAAGGGTCGAGGATGTGGGGTGTTCTAGTGGATCATAGACTTATTAAAAGCATGCAGTGCCAAACTGCACTGTCCAAAGCAAGCAAATGGTTTATTTTATTAAAAGATGTATGAGAGAGAGAGAGAGAGAGAGAGAGAGAGAGAGAGAGAGAGAGATTATTGTACCCTTGTACAAAGTAACACCTCACCTGGAATATGCAACTCAGTATTGTAGAAATACAACATATATAAGATGCCCACATAGTGAACACAAGGGGGCATTATTTACATCTAGAAAAAAAAGAGAGTAATGCAGGCCATAGACAGGGAGAAAACCGGCTGAAAATTCGTCCATAAAAATAATCGGCCAATTTTCGGATCGTTAGTGGCTGAATTGGTCGGCCGGTTTTCTTGATTTTGACACATTTTTTTAATCGTTCATGTTGGGGGAAAAAAATGGCCGAATTCGCCCATGGGGCCCATCAGGGCAATCTTTTTCCCGATTTTCACGGCAATGATGGGCAAATCGGACAATCTTTTCTCCCGCTATGACATTTTAAAAAAATGTTGCATGAGCCGTGACCAAAGAAAAAGATACAATGAACATCTGTATCTATTTGTGGATCCATACAAATAGATACAATGTTTCGCATTACCCGCAATTCTTAGAAATGCAATCATTAAAAAAATCTGAGCCGTAGCGGTGTCAACCGCAATGCAGAGAGAGCTCCGCTATGATATTTGACATTTAAAAGTATAAGGGTTGCAACATTGTATCTATTTGTATCCGAATAGAAAACATCTGTATCCGAAATGGATACAAATAGATACAATGTTGCAACTTTTTTTTTCTTGTTATTAATATTCTATTTCTTCTTCTTTTAAATGTCAAATACACAGTAGCTAAGCTCTCTGCAGGGACACCGCTATTATATTAATTGTGAAACTACTTATACTCCTGTCCTGTCCTTAGACAATATACAAATTGCCTTTCCATGGTATTTGGATCAAGGTGTTGTGGCTACATGTTTTCATACAAATGACAGGGCCTAGTGATGTCATCATGTTATTATCCTCAGGGTTTACTGAATGCGGACAGCAGTAATCTTGGTATTTGAGGGAGGGATGAATGGATGATATTATGTGCTGGTTTTTATTGTATTAATGTGAGTACATTGGAGTGCTTTCTATTTTAAATAGTGTTCAAATAGAGAGCATTCAATTGTGATTTATTGCTTTGAGAGGCATTGCCACATTCCTTACTAAGTTGTGATGAGAGCTGATTTGGTGGAGTAGAAGAAAAATTATCCATTAAGGGTGGAGGAGTACCCTAGCTTAATTACATGTGAATGCTTATGCAGTTTCCTTATAACCTAGAGGTCATTCCAGAGGTGAGGAGATCCACATATTCTTTGCCATAGTGGTGTTTTTGGAGGAGGTAATCACAAGAACCATTTAACCACTTCCCTTTCGGCCCATGTATATAAATGGCCGGATGGGAGCAGTGCGGGTGGCTCTTTATAAATGGCCTCCCCGCTCCCTGCTTGTGCGCACTCCCTGGGAGTGTGATCCGGTGCCCGCTGTGTCCTCTGGGACCTCTGTGTGAGGTCCAGATCATGTGATCACTGATTGGCCAATCACACTATCACACTTTGAATGACAATTGCACGGTCATGCAACACTGTACTCATATGAAGTTTTTATCATTTTTTTGAGACAGATAAAACTTTAATTTCGTGGTATTTATTCACCACTGGGATTTTTATTTTTTTTGCTATGTAAATGAAAAAGTTCAAAAATTTTGAAAAAAGTGTTTTTCTAATAAAATTTTGCAAATAAATAATAGTTCATCATACATCTTGGCCAAAATGTATTCCGTTATCATTTTAGTAAAAAAAATAACCCAAATTAGTTTATAACCAAAAATTATAATTTTGAAACACTTTTTATTTACATTTTTATATTATTATATTATGTTTATTTTTTTTACATACTGTCACCCTAGCAGTACAGTGTCACCATGGTGACACTGTACTACTTTTTGGGGGGGGGTGATGAAGATTTTTTTTATTACACTGATTTCTTTTACACCCATAAATGCTGTAAAAGCAATCATTTCTCCTTCTGTCTGGCTGCATTCTTGCAGCCATTGAGAACTACTGTGTGAGCTGTGATTGGTCACAGCTTGTCACATGATACAAGGCTGTTGTGAATAGCCTTGTACCATGTGACCTCTGTGATCATTCACATATTTTACACATAGTAAGCAATGATGTCAGAAGTGACATCTTGCTTACTACTCTGCATGGGATCAGTGATTGGCCAATCGGTGATCACACATGATCGGGACCTCGCACAGAGGTCCCGTCTGACGATTGGTGTTCCACTGTGTCCGAAGGACACAGCGGACACCGGATGGTGGTGCTGCGCGCTCCCAGGGAGCGTGCACAAGCAGGGGACGGGGAAGCCGTTTATAAATGGCCACCCGACCCTGCAGTGCCACCGTCTGGCCGTTTATATAGAACGGCCGGACGGGAGGTGGTTAAGCACAACTTAGGGTTCCTGATTGACAATTTAAACATGCTTCAAATCCAGTTACTCTAGCATGCATAAGCATCATAGGGTAAACAAAAAACTTCCTTAACCTTTCCTAGATGAGACAAATCTTCCTTCATTTTTGTCTCACACTCTTCCCTTCCCAGACAGCTCACAGACAGAGGGTTGCAGCAACATGAAAAATATAGTATGCCAATTGTATCATAACGGTTGTCAGAAAAGATCTACATCTAAGAGGGAGTCTATCTCGAAGTAAAAGATATGTTTTGGCTGCACCAGCCATTTTTGAAAAATACTCATACATATGGCCTTGTAAAGATATGGCAGTATGACAAGTGCAACACTGCCCGCAAAAAGTGGTTAATTGAAAACCCATGCGGAGTAATGTAACTGCATAGATAATAGCTACAAAAATATTTTATAATATAATGGAAAACCAAAGTAGGATCATAGTAGTGGAAACATAAAGAGAATAATATATGCACTGATCATGTATTAAAACAAGATAACCAAACTTGGTGGTAAACTAGTAGTTCCATTACCTTCTCATGAGCTTGACCATCATGAAAAAATGAATGTAGGGCCTTCCTGGGTGACCACCCCAGGTGGAAATGAATCCACAATAGCAAGTGATTCTAAGAATGTATAAACATAAATCATGAGTATCAAACAAAATACCTGAATAAAATAAATATAAGGGTAAAAAATATATTACCATATACAGGATCAAGGAGACTCCACCTCACTTGAAATGAGATCAGGTCTTTGTGTTTCTAATGATGAATATGGGGGTGGAAAGCCAGGTGGTCTATACATATAAAGTCCAAGCTGATTATAGCAGGCAGTATATACCTGAATGTATGTACCCAAATCAGAGTTTCCAAAAATTGCTCTTACTGAAAATGATGCGGTTCCTTTTAGATATATATGAGACTAATATCACATATCACAGCACATATGTAGCGTAGTATAAACGTATTCCTCCAATAGGAGTTCAAAAATTCCCTCAAAGGGGGGCTTATGGGCACATGGTTCCCAATATACGGAGTATGCTCCCCATGTACAAATAGCAATTGAGGCTGTCTAAGCCAAACAAGCTAATAACTTGCCACCGGTGGAAGTGAGCTGTGACTCTAAGTCGCCATGTGCGGGCTGCTTAGGATGATAGCCTCATCGTGGTCTTAATGCCTCGTGCCTTTCCAATATGGAGCTGAAGCAAACTGCTTCTTCCCTCCTCATGGGCACCGCACCCTATGAAGACGCCGAGTGTAATGATGTCATCACATTGACGCATTTCGGCCGCCAATCACCGCAGACTTCGTCAGAACTGGGAGGGGACTTCTCTTCCATTGCCTCATATAGTGCCCTGATTGCATCTAAAGTCCTTCCAATGATCAATAAGAACACTTGTGGCCTGACACAAACAGAGACCCAACTAACTAACTATAGGCCTGGACTCAGTCTCTAGGCACCAACACTGAAATGAGGTGCGTGCACGATCTTACTGACCCGGGTCTACTTTACATTCGCTGGTGACTCTGAACAGAACAAATGTCTCTCCAACAAGCATGCAGTATCGCAGTGTATGTTGCTTTGTTCCTCTGCTCTCATCAGCATTCCTGGCAGCAATCTTCCTTTCTCTGAACAGGATCAGGGTCTTGGACACGATCAGCTTCACTTAGCTGCAGCTCTGGTTACTGAGGGATGCTCTCACACCTGGATGCCATCAGATTCTCTGCTCACATGGCTCCTGCATTCACCATCCTCCAAAATATGGCTGCTATCTCTCTCTCCTTCCTGTTCTCTAAACTCTGTGTGAAAACCCCACCTCTTCATGAATATCTATGCAGTCTGAGGCTCTGTTAGGAAAACAGTGGCATTTGTGGCTAAACCGCAGAATGTCACTCCAGAACATTTAATTTACTCCACACAATAATTTACTGCACACAAACAGTGTTCAAACAATGAGAGCTGTTTCCCCATCTCACACATGTATATAAATGGCCAGACAGGAGCAGTGCAGAAGCGGGTAGCAGCTTATATCTGGAGGACACAGTGGAACACCGATCGCTGTATGGGACCTCTGTGTGAGGTCCCGATCATGTGATCACTGATTGGCCAATAGTAGTTCTGACATCATTGCTTACTACTAGTGAAATCTGCGAATGAACAGAGGTCACAACAGCCTATTCACAACAGCCTTGTACCATGTGACAAGCTGTGACCAACCACAGCTCTTACAGTATTTCTCAATGGCTGCAAGAATGCAGCCAGAGAGAAGGAGAAATGATTGCTTTTACAGCCTTTATGGGTGTAAAAATCAATCAATGTAAAAAAAAAAAAGTATGTGACAGTATGTTAAAAAAAACACATAAATAATAATATAAAAATGTAAAAAAAAATTTAAAAAATTATAATTTTTGGTTATAAACTAATTTGGGTTATTTTGTTTTTTTACTAAAAAGATAGGTGAATACATTTTGGCCAAGATTTATGAATAAATATTATTTATTTGCAAAAATAAGAAAAAACACTTTTTTTTCAAATTTCATTTATATAGCAAAAAATAAAAATGAATAAATACCACGAAAATAAAGTTTTATATGTCTCAAAAAATGCTAAAAAAATTAATATGAGTACAGTGTTGCATGACTGCGCAATTGTCATTCAAAGTGTGATAGCACTGAAAGCTGAAAATTGGACTGGACAGGAAGGGGGTGAAAGTGCTCGGACTTAAAGGGGTTAAAGAGCTATGCCCCACCTTCCACCATACTACACACAAATGACTATACCTTTGTTAGAAAGCAATAGGTGTATATCTGAAGTTAGAAATGTGAAGGCTGCATTTACACTATGTGGCTTGGGACCAGACGGCTTTCCAGGCACACAGTGAGGCTATTATTTAACCAAATTCATCTATTTTTAAAGCATGTCAAGTACCCATTCAACCTGAGCAAAATAAGAGTTTTTGAAAACATTTGCAATGCTTCTGACTGATACAAGTTTGGCTTATACATTTTCAACCCTAAAAATAACAAAAATTAAAAAAAAGAACTACTCCAGCAATACTGAGAAATTATAAACAATCATTTGAAGAATGATATCAGCAAATTGTAATTTGTATTATATTTATTCTAATTTCAGACCTTCACTTTGATATATAATATATTTCATATTTTTAAAGAAAGATTTGATAGATAGATAGATAGATAGATAGATAGATAGATAGATACTCAATTATCTGCCAAATAGAGAAGTTTATATGTCGACCCAAATATGATAAAATCAGACAAGCCAGAAAAAAATATGGGTTTACAGAAATAATTCAGTTGTAAACATATTTTATTGCTAATTGTCAGTTTAACAAGTTTATGCTGGATATAGACACCTGTCACCCTGCAACCTTATAAAAATTTGAAGGGCAGAAAGTCAAGTCATATCTCCAATCAGTTTCCTAAATTATAGAATGGTCTACTGCACTGATCGCTTTTGTAATTATACATTTCAGCAATGTGTACGAGATATAGCTGACATTATTTTAGAGCTATAACTATACACAGGATACAGAAAATCTGAACTTCATTTCACCTTTCAAAGTTGTATCTGCAAATACTTTGAGTTCTAGACAGAATGAAGTGATATATTCTTTTCATATTGTTTTCACTGGCATGATTTATGGCCCTTTTAAGCGCTGTACATATATAGCTAATATAGGTAAATCACTTCTCAATGCAATAAATTACAAACAACAACTAAATATTGTGTGATAAAATACTTGCAATAATATCACAAAAAATTGAAACTGGTTGACGATTATTTCACCACAAGCCTGTTATCGCAGCCTAACCATGCAGCACTGTGTCTGCTAAAAATAACCTAAAATGAAATCTGTATACTTTATATAAACCAATTATCTAATATAACAACCTCCGTTTCCTTTATTCCTCATTTATTTGTGAATTTTACCAAATAGGTACCTTTGACTAGTAAATGTGAAATAATATTTATTGAAATTTGAAAATAAAGACTTTAAGTTATCTCAAAAGCATACTGTATTGAGAGATTTAAACTTTCACATATCTACTGCCAGCCACATGTTTGTCTGTGCACTGAATCTTGATTAACACTGAAATTATCTGTTAGAAAACTAATGTCACACCACAAGGTAACCAGAGACACCAAAGAGCACTGTGCTATGCAGCCATGATCCAACCGTGCCGCCACCCTCCATGTTCTTAGCAAGCAGTAACGTCACTGGTCCCAATCAGGCCCTTTAAGTTTGCTATGAATTATAAGGGAAGCTCATGCAAAGAAAATTGCTTAGGGTCTCAGCCAAATCCATTCACATTCTCTACCACATTCTCTACCAGACCCTTTGGACCTTGTAGGTATTTTAAAGGGGGCCTCCATGCAAAAATTAAGAAAAAATGTGTGGGGATCCAACAAAAAACAACACCAGACCCAGCAGGCCAGCTCTTGTCCTAAACCATAGAGTTTGGTATAGAATTTGGGGAGAACCCATACCATTTAGAACCCCCTTAAAATTCATACAAGACCTGAAGGGCCGTGTATGAATTAATGGAAAACCCAATGACTGTGTGTGTGTGTGTGTGTGTGTGTGTGTGTGTGTGAGGGGGGGGGGGTCCCATTAATATCTATGCTGGATGATTGTTTAGGATAAAGGCCTGGTATAGATGAAGTGAATCCCCAGCAACTTTTTTTTTACATGGCTGAAGATGTCAATTACTAGCAAACAAATTTCAGTTGAATACTACATGTGATCTATCAATTGTTGTTCTATAAATCCAAAAATCTAGCTGTAAACTCTTACATGCACATCCACAGTTAAAAGATAATATACTAACTATATAAAAATCAAATAAATAGTAGTAGACTCATTAAGTACTGTTTACTACAGGTGAACTGAAAACAGTTTCTCTTTACGATGTACTGTCGAACAGAGTGAAAAGTATTATAAAGACTGACTCGCACAAGTCAAAGGCACATGAAAAACAATATCAGTGAAGTCATTTCCAATTGAATTTCCCAGCTTTCTCACGTACGCTGGAAGAAACACATATTAACTTTAAATAAATATGAGTTTCCATCCTTCATTTTTCTGTTTAAAAACTGCATATTTATATAATGCAGGCGGCATTTGTCACCATTAGATGTTGTTTACACTGTTTTAGATTCCAAAATGGTGCATAGTGCAGCGTGAAGTGAAGCTGATGGGCATCTGTTTAGCCTTCTATGTTACTTTATGAGGGTAAAGGCTAAATTCACAAAGCTTTAACACCTGGATAACAATTTTATTTTAGCCACGTGTTTGCAATTTTCATATCTCATATGAAGCTCTGTGAATAAAGCCTAATGTCTTCAATCAGGAGTTCACATAAAATCTCTAGTAAACCACAAAATGATAGACTAATACCAGCTATTAGTATTAACCATTTACAAATTATATGAACATCTGCAAACTATGGCAAAGCAGCTAAAGTAAATTGAAAATTGAAAAATAATACAGACCGCTACTATGTATGGGAGCCCCTTTATAAAACCAGGGTGAATCTAGGCACAATAACCAAATACAAAGTATTCTGGCATGTACAGAGTGTGAGTATATGCAAATGAAAATGTTAGGATTTCTACAGGTAATTAATTTATTTATCTTTTGAGAGGGGTGAGCTATCCTTACCAGTAATGCTGGGTACACACTATTAGTTTTTTTTTTTGTTCAACCCAGTAGGCTGAATGAACAAAAGCTAAAGGACTCGGGAGGCACTTGCTGTATTAACTATCCAATGTTAGTACAGCGATCTCCCTGCCGACCTAAAGTGTGTTCTGACATGGGGACTGTCCCCCCCCCCCCCCCCAATAACACGCACTTTTCAGCGCTTGCAGCCAGTGGCTTGCCAACACTGATAGGATGCCGATCAGATTTGTTGGTTTTCCAGCATGCCCATTCAACAGAAGCTGGACAGGCTGGTGTACACATGGGCCACACAGGTGTCTGTTGAAATGGCCAATAGCTGCCGATTTTCAGCCCATGTGCAAGGGCTTTAATGTATCCAAGGCTGCATTATAAACACCCAACTATTGAATCTTTGGTTTCCTACTTAAGATTGAGATGCTACAGAGGTTGGAAACTGATGAAAGATCTGGAAATGCATTAGTGAATAAAACTAGCCTCCAATAAAAAGTAAACATAATTCATTGCCTGTTAATAAAATCAAATTACTTACCTGCCAAAATATGCTATCTATTGTGTTTTCCAAGAAATCCATCCCGACCTTCTGTGGATACAAGTTTAGGACCAAGAATTGTCATGAATTCGTCAAAATCCACTTGGCCATCACCTAAAAGAAATAATGTATACTAGATTGTAATATGAACTTACTGACATTCCAAAGACAATCTAACACTCTTAACACTTATATTTTTCACCCTGAGGAACACAGAAAGTCATGAATGCATAAGAAATGATCTTTAAGTAGTAACAAGGCAAATACTGAGTAGATTTTCCACTCTAAAGGAAGCCAATACTGAGAGAAACATGTACGCTGCCATTTCCTGGCCACCTATGAACCTATGCAAACTTATGGCAAGTCAACAGGTAATGCATACCTCCACAGATGCATATGTAGTACCTATCGTTATTTTACTCCCCTGTTGCTCTGTTCAATAACTTTTTTCAGAATGAAAGAAAAGCCCCACATAAGCTATACGTCGCTTGAGTTGCAGCCTACACAGGCTATGGAATGCAGCGAGATTGTTCTGATTGGCCTAGTACTGTTGCATGTAAGATGTAACATGCTATTCCATACACAATAAGCACTTGTATTTCCTTCAGCTCCTGGTACTGAGCACAGAAGGATGGAAGCAAAGGAAAAATGGGTAAATAATAATAGAGGGGGCAGGGTTAAAGTAAACTTATTTTGTCCTGAATGGTAAGAGCAAAGTAACTTCCTAAGTTACTATCCTAGAAAAAAAAAGTATGAAGTCAGTGAAGTTAAAGTCAAAACACTTGATCCAACTTGACTTTACCTATCCTACAAGTATTGAAGAGATTGGAACACCATGGCCATAGGTAACTTACCTTTTCAGATATCTCCTTCCATGTGCAAAATATCTTTCAATGGAACGAGCATAACATTTTACTTGAAAAAGTTTTAAATTATATGATCCATTGCATCATTATGAAATAAGGACACAAATGTTTCAAGAGACCTATGTT